CACATGGCATGAGGTTCTGCCATCACCGCCTTCCTCCACCACTCCACAACAGACCCATCCAGCCATTTTTGGTTTGGTCGCGATGTTTTCTGGCATAAAGTTGCATCTGTGGAGTGATCCCACTGGGGATGGGGAGTTCGAAGTGCTTAAAGTGAATCCTCATCATTGCATATAATTCGTCCCAATTACACTAGCTTCGATTTTATTCTTTTTTTCGCCTTCCAGCCAATTCAACTTGAGCCGCTTTCGCGGATGGAATAAGTGATTTATTGTAGGCTTTTTTTCAGGTTGATTGATGGTTCCGTTGGCCATCAATCCTTCAAAGTTGCTCTATGATGGAACGAGCAAGAGTAGTGCAAGTGGTTTCCCTGTTAAGCTACCGTTTGTGCATCAACGACGCTTTACATTTGAGATGTTCTGAGATAAATGCGTTTCACATTCGCGACGAAGATACGGTGGATGAAGTGAGTGGTTGAGTGTGTTGAGAATGATGAGAAAGGATCAGTGTCGTCGAGAAGTAAATAGAAACATGTATTTCCTAGATTCAAAGTGTAAAACATTTTTAAGTCTTTGATCAGCACCAACTGATGGTGTCAAAGACACAGGCTTCAAGCAAATCTCAGCAACCATGATCCATCCACGTTAGAGAAGGTTCCTCATGTCATTGACTCATTCTCTTCACGGAATCCTGTGGACGACGAATGGAGATGTTACTGCCTTGAGGCGTGACCTTTTGAAGGTGCTACTTCTCCTCCAAAATGCTGAGCCCAGACATCTCAGTACCATTCGGTCAAGGCGTCAATCTCCTTTCAAATGTCCATGACTACAACGCATCCGCTTCGAAAAAGGAGGGAGTGATTTCGAGGAAAGAATGGATCAGTGGAAGTGACAATTAAATATTAAGACTGCTTATTGATGCATTGCTGGAACAATTTGCTTGCAACATTTGTGCATATTTAGCGCCTATTGAGGTTGAGGTGCAAAGCATCCGCCCATGGAGGCCGACTGTACATCTAGGAGTTCCACTTCCTCACCTCAAACAACCTCACCCTAGGTTATACGCATTCGGAAGCATCAAAAGGCTGTCAAACTAATTTCAACATAAAAAATCACTTTAGTTATTCCTTTGGAGAGGTAATAACGATCCCCATCCACCACTCTTTTGAAGCTTCAAATGTCACATCCCAAGAAGTTGGAAGAATGGAATGAAGGCATTGCGTTCAAGCGTTGAGACCGCAGACTGCAATTCGAGTTGAAGTTGCCTTTCCGTTGTGACCTCTCAGGTGAGTTGGAGACAAGTCGCCGTTGTTGACTGTCACATCTTCTGACAACCTGCATCTACAAGAGTACGGACGTTGAGTGAACAAGAAGACGCCGGCCTTCTCCACCTTCGACATGAGCATGCGCAACATTGCATCGTTTCGGTTTCAGGATGTTTGTTTGCAAGTGAGTTACCAACATTCTTCGACTAGCAAAGGAAGCACTTTTTGCAACGGTGGCGGAAACAAACGCTGATTCGCAGCCGCGTTCCTTTTCCGTCTTTTTTCGTTTTATATGGCAGTGCTACCATAAGGTTTGGAAGGTAGGTATGGACAATCGTCGGCTTGTCCTCAACACTCCTGTCCTTTGGTCTCGCAGGGAGTCCGCAATTTGCCCACATTTTTCTTCGATTCTACAGTGCATCGGACGATCTCATACCGTATTCATGGATTAAAGTAGGAAGTAGACACCGCCTTCGTCTAATCCTCCCTCCTTCCCTGAGCCAAGACTTTACAGCAGAAAATTTCAGCAGGATGGATAAATTTTGCTTTTCTTAATTCCAAAAGCAGTAGTTGGCCATGCAAGCGACTCCTTTTTACAGGTACACAATCGAATGTAAACGAGGTTGTGGAATGTACGATTCAGTGGTGCATTGTTTGAGAAGAATCGCCTGCCTTTATCGGCTAAACGGCGACTTGGTTGTCGTGTCCACTAAAACCTGTTCAAATCGACTCGAATACCCATGGGCAGGTGGAGTGAGGCGGGGATTGTCACTCCCTCGTCTCGTCTCGTTCTCAACAATCGCGCCTTATTCTGTTCGCTAAGTGAACAGACGAAGCATCAGCCCCACTCATTTTTATTCCCTCTCCATCAAGTCGTCATTTGTACACCCAAAAATTTGGGAAATGCAAAGGAAGGATTTCACTCGCTCCTCCTCACTGCCATCGTTCTCAAGCCCTAAAACGCTCATGACCAACAGAAGTGAAGTGAAGCATTGTTTGGGCTTCATTGTGCACCTTTCAGTCGCCTAATTTACACACTTCGGACCGACCGTGTTTAGACGCCAAAGATAAGCAGTTTTTTTGCGGTAAAAAAAGGTGAAGTGATGAGATCAACCTTCTTGTCAACAGGTAAACAATGACAAGTACTGCGCAATCATCGCCTCCTGTCGTCAGCGAAGCGTCGACTTGATTCTCACACGATACTTGCATAAGCAGTTGGTCTGCGTTTAGCAAAACGAAATTAAAATTTTGTTGAATAAATTATTCGATTTGCTTTGTTTTCTCCCTCTTCAAAGGTGTGTGACAATCGAGTTCGACAATACAAACACTGAATTTTTGCGTTGTAAAATGGAGAGCCCGGAAAGACTGGCCAAAGCAACCGGTAGAGTGAACTGCTTGGCTAAAATGGCGCTTCTTACTTACTTATGAAGGCTTTTAAAGAGGTTCAGCCCCTTCGTGCGTGACTCAAACAACCAAATCATCGTGACGATTGAAGTGAGAAACGAGAAAATGGACTGATGTTAGTGGTGGAAGCGCAAATGTATCCAAGAAGATTCTGTCGGCGAGTTGAAAAATGCATGAGAGCTCTCTGTGTCTCCATCTCCCCCGCTCAAATCAATTTTCGGTCAATCAGAGCATTTTTAAAAACAATTTGATTCTTATCATTCAATCGCGTTCTTGCAACGAGGACAAGTTTGGCAAGGAATCGACATGATCGACAGGGGAAGAATTCCTCCCCATTGCCATTAACTAGAATGAATGCGTAAGATGATGGATGAGAGCAGGTTTATCCAACGCCTTTCAGGTGGCGGAATGCAAATTAAAGAGGCTTTGTTTGCTGTCTGTCAAAGTCCACCAGTAGTTCCTAGACGGAGTGAACAAATTGCTTGCAGTAGACCACTCCTCTGCATCCGAGGTCCGCAATTCTGCCTTTGACAATGGGACAGCAGGAGATCTGCTGAAACTTAAGGCTACCAACAATATTAGTGAATGTGAAATAGCAGTAAATTGGAATGAGAAATCCTCAATCTGCTGACACTTACTTTCCCCCTTTCCTGAGAAGCCAAGATGCCACGGCCACTCATTCGCCAACTTTGACCTCAAATGCTGCCAACCAAGTGTTGGTTTACAATCACCGCTTGAATGACTTCCTTCACAGAGTCGAAAAATTTAGTGGTTTGCGCCTACGTTTGGGTCGCTGACACTTGACGAAGGAGCGTCTGCTCGTCTCGGGGAAGGAGACGACATCCCATCCGCCATGACACTGACATTTCCCCGCATGTTCCAACACACAAATGAAATTGTTGTTCACTTTACTGTCATTTCTTGTAGCGGTGGGTATTTTTTGACTACTGACCGTCAGTCGAAAGACACTCCAAACTGGAATATGCAGTGCAAATGTAAGAATTTGGACAACCACTGCTCGACTATGAGTTCATTTGTCGACCCTTCGATGACGAGCATGGAGAGAGGGTGGGTTAGGAGAGAGAGAGGAGGAGGAGGAGGAGGAGGAGGAAGCGGATTGCAAATGGGGATAAGGTGTCAGCGAATTTATAGTATACGAAAGAGTGCCACTTCCTGACTGTTAGCAAATAATCAGCCTCGTTAACACAAGAGAGTGAATGACAAAGCAATTAAACAATAAAACGGAGAGGAGAGTTGCCTTCAACTCGTCACAACTGGGTGGTGAAATTTGCAGTCTTTTTTCATTCTACAGAAAAAAAATAATAAACAAACGTGATGGAGGAGGGGCTGCCCATCTCACTCTTAAGGGCAGCGTGAGGACATCACCGGAGAAATTGTGATCAACAGATTGTACACGCCCCTTGAGAAAAGAAGCATGAGGCAAGGAGAAGCATCAGATGGATTAAAATGCGCTCACTTCCCAGTCCTCCTTTCCCCTTCTACACTCCACCATCATTGCCAACATGTAGAAGCTCAGAAGCATCATATTATACGAGGTTTTCCTTAACAATATCAGCATGTCCAGGCGACACAGACCTTTGTCAAGCCATTGATGTTAAGGACGGAGAAGGACTCCACAGGGAGTGACGCCTGCATCACCTGTGGGGAAATTCCATTTCTCCTCTTGAATTGCTTTCATGATCGTGGCATGCAAGGTGTGTAAAAAGCAGAGTTGTTAGAAAACAGTCCGAATGTCTTTCAGTTTACTGAAGACTGTACACAACCCTCCACCCAATGGAGGCCTGTAGAATGGCGTCAGCATCTGCAACGAAGTGACTGTCAGTCAGGAGTGGTAACAGCTACTTCGCTTCTACGAGGATGTTGGAGCTTCATGCAAAAGCATTGGCACCTGCAGGTATTCAAGCAGCTCATTTCACCTATTTCTTTGAAACAACCACTCCACCCCCCAAACGAGAATCCTCTGTGTTTCCACGAATAGCTAAGAAGAGCTATGGAAGTAATGTAAATGTCAAGGAGGGCGGTCAAAATGAATCTGCCTTTCTTTCCTCCAATCTTCGCTTTTTATGTCCTGTTAAAATGAATGTCCTCACATGTAAGGTGGAGTTCAATAGAATCTAAAAACTGGAAACCCACAACTTCAATCCTGAATGCCACATCTTCATTTTCAGGAGATGTAAAGGATATGCTCTTCTGCTCATGCGATTGTGGTCAACGCACGTTCATTCTGACGACTGCAAAAGACCTCCACCAAGAGTCGACAAACTCACTTCAACAATTCATCCCCCTGGGAAAAACACAGAGCAGAGTCATCTGCAGTCCTTACAGAGTAAATTGTAGCCAAACTATGTAAAACCTTCATCCAGATCACCTCCCCCATCTGTTCGCGGTTCGCAATTCCCTGGACAGCGTCCCTCTACATTCACAGACCCATCAGTCACTGTTTAGAATCTTTTCAGCAATATTTGAATGCAATGGGAATCACAATCATGGCGCGCACACACGACTCTTCAACCGACTTTTAGCTGAAAACTTCGGCACGGAATGTTAAGTGAGACAGCATGCATTAAACATGCATTTCTCATCTACCCACGAATTTGCAACATATTGAAAATAGAAAACGCATTTCTGAAAGAAGTGATCCGGACCATCTTCGACTGTGCCTCACGTTTGTTTCATAGTTGTTGAGCATTCACTTAAGGTAACAAACGTGATGGGGCTGGAATGGCATTTCTTGGACCCTCTCTCCTCGTGAGCGCAGGTCGGACGCCTCAAAAAGGAAATTAGCGACTTATCGCCTACTTGAACAGCACAAAGAAGGTCCAACTGATCTCTCTGCCATTCCTGTCACTCACATTACTCTTCACTCCCATACGGCCTAGAACCCCCTTCCAGTGCAAAATCCGTAAGCAGTCCACTAAACCAGCAAATATGGAAGAAGAGAGGAGGTATGGAGGAAGGAAAACAGTCCGAATTGTGAAAGGAGGAGCGGTTGTATCTCTCGCACGCGAACACTTCCCAAACAGCGTTGCCAATGAAGCTGACCGCTACAAATCTCACCCAGTTTATGGGCAGCAGTTGATGTGTGGCGCCCTCAATGCTCCTCCTCCTCCTCCTCCTCCCCCTCCTCCTCCTCCTCCTCGATCCCATCAGCCGCGCATCGCCAACAACTGCATGTTGCATGATGATGGCGCATCGCTGATTATTTTGCTTAACAAAAACAAAAGTAGTCAATATACCGTTCCAACTGACAATGCAGAAGTGACGATAAGCGACAGCGTTGGTGATAGGGATGGTGGTGGTGGTGGTGGCGACGACGATGACGGCGACGGCGGTAATTGGGGGTAGCTGGCTCTTCACCACTGTCACTGTCAGCCTTCCTCCCTCTTCTGCCAACTTGTTCATCTCACCTCCCACCCAACTTGGGCAAAGTTTGGTGTGTCACATCAAAGCACCAATGCACGAGGAAATGAAGGCTATGATTTCACCCTCCTCATCATCACAGCAGCGATTCACCGTTGCGTCTCCTGAATCAAGCAAACGGCAAGTGAGAGTCCTTGTAAATGGGGAAAAGAGGTTGACTTTGCTGGTGTGAGGTCGTGTAGACACAGTAGACGGTCAGCGGATGCTCTCTGTGCAATGATGGGCAATCTCAGCATAAATGGTGGACGGTTGACATCTCGACCCGAAGTGCTACTTAAATTGTCTACTTATTAGCCAATGTGTGGACGTGATCGTGTGTGACCCACATCGCTTCCATGTGTAGTGGGTGCATGGTGTGGTGCTCACATGGCGCGTGGATTGCAGTGAGACTGAGGAGGAGGTGGTGTTGTGCGGAGTGGTCAGTCAAGTTGATTGAGCAAAACAGTGCGCTGTGGGTCATGTGCAAGTTAAGTTAGGTGGGTTCACAAGTGCTGCCAAATGCTTCCAACTGACAACACCGAGGTGAAGTATGCAGTTGCAATGATGTGGGAGTTGGACGATGCACCAATAGAATGAAAAGGATTGACGGTGCACTGTGAGCACAGCAGTGTCAAAGGCGTCATCTCGCGTATGCAAAAGCGTAGCAGAGTATTCATATAAATTGCATGATCATTGAATAAATGTTTGCAGCTGTAAAGGGAAGAATAAAATGTGCGAGGGAAGACTATTCTGCCATGTCCTTTCACCGTTTCACAGTTTTGTCTGGATGGGTCTGTTGTGGAGTGGTGGAGGAAGGCGGTGATGGCAGAACCTCATGCCATGTG